AACCGTAATGACAACATACGTTATTCCCTTTGTCATCGGTATGTTTCTTGCCCGAGATTCGATCGTTGGTATCTTCATACCTAGTTCAATCTCGTTACCGGCAAGTCTCTTTACTCGTTCTGTAATGCGTCATCCCGCAACTAACTCATTAGTCACATTGCTTGCAAGGCTTATTATGATGTGCATTACCGAGAGGGCCCAGAGATACCTCTCCGATACTCGGAGTGACAAATCCTAATCTCGATCTATGCCAACCCAACAAACACCTTCGGAGATACCTGTAGAGCATCTTTATAATCACCCAGTTACGTTGTGACGTTTGATAGCACACAAGGTATTCCTCCGGTATTCGGGAGTTGCATAATCTCATAGTCAAAGGAATATGTATAAGTCATGAAGAAAGCAATAGCAATAAAACTTAACGATCATTATGCTAAGCTAACGAATGGGTCTTGTCCATCACATCATTCTCCTAATGATGTGATCACGTTCATCAAATGACAACACATGTCTATGGTTAGGAAACTTAACCATCTTTGATTAACGCGTTAGTCTAGTAGAGGTTTACTAGGGACACGGTGTTTTGTCTATGTATTCACACATGTATCAAGTTTCTGGTTAATACAATTCTAGCATGAATAATAAACATTTATCATGATATAAGGAAATATAAAATAACAACTTTATTATTGCCTCTAGGGCATATTTCCTTCACGTAGGCGCTCGAACATAAGTCTGTTTCCTCCGTTTTACGGTACGCCAGACTCCTTTCGATAAAAAAAAACCCTGTTTCGATCGTACACGGTCGAACAAAAGGTTGTTTCCTTAATTTTGCGGTACTTCAGACCCCATTTCGACTGTTTCGTCCAAGCTGGTTGGCTCCCGATGAACATGACACATTCTGTTGCCTCCCGATGAACACGACGTTGTTTCTCCGTTTCGACCTAACCGGTTGGCTGCCGATGAATAAGACGTTGTTGTTGTTGTGTGTTATCTCTCCATGTACACGAGCCCTGGTCGTACATATGTGCGAGTACGCATTTGAGACCCCACCTGTATGTACGTACGTGGCCGTATTTTTTATCATGTGGCTATAGGTGCGTGTATACGGTTTAGATGGGACTGCCTGAACTGCTACGTCGAGGACTCTATATGACACGTGCCGCTACTTACTCGGCCAAGGTTCATCTTTGCAGAGAGACCGACCGACCAGTATATACGCACACATTTGCGACAAGACGGACAATGCTACATATGCTTCGACCGGGTGGGTCCCAACTGTCAGGAAGGATAAGGAGGCACTTCCTTGCGTGCGGAGATATAGCTGTTGGGTTTCAGCTATCACGGGAGGAATCATTTTTATTTTCACGAAACAAGGCACTTCCTTGCATGCGAAGATGTAGCTGATGGGTCCATATTTTACCTTAATTCTCTTTTACAGTAAAGGCAACACCACTATATTTGTGCTTGTTTATGTTGATGGTATAATTGTTGCTAGTTTCAGATGCCACTACCTGTCTGCTTAAGGACCTAAAGCTGAAGTTTGTCGTGAAGGACTTGGCAAATCTTCAATACTTCCTATGTATAGAGGTCAAGCAGGTAAAGGATGGTATACTTCTCACACAGAAAAAAATACACCAGTGAAATACTCAGGAGAGTAGGATTGCAAAATTGCAAACCCGTGAGTACACCAATCTCAACTTCAGAAAAACATACAGTTGAGAGTGGAGACGCACTTGGACCAGAGTTTGCTACAAATTACAGAATTGTTCTAGGTGCATTACAATATTTAACTCTTACATGTCTTGATATCTCCTATTATGTAAACAAAGTATGTTAACATTTGCATGCACCTAGCATCACTCATTGGACTGCAGTTAAGAGAACTTTGAGGTATCTAAAGTTCTCATAAGGACTTGGACTTCTGATTGTCAACCCTCCATCTATGCTTGTCACTGTCTACTCTGATGCAGGTTGGGCGGGGTGTGCTGATGATAGAAGATCCATAGGTGGATTTGCTATGTTTCTGAGAACAAATCTTGTATCATGGAGTGTAAGAAAACAGACTACTCTCTCAAGGTCAAGCATCAAGGTTGAGTACAAAGCTTTGGCAAATGCTATAGCTAAAGTATTGTGGATTCAGACTTTGATCTATGAACTTGAAATCAAGGCTCCAGAGGCTGCGAGATTATGGTGTGATAATATTGGTGTAAGTTATCTCTTAGTTAATCATGTTTTTCATGCACACACAAAACATATTGAAATTAATTTCCACTTTATCAGAGAAAGAGTAGCTCGAAAATTACTTGACATAAGGTTCATTTCATCTGGAGATCAGTTGGCCCATGGTTTCACAAAACCTCTCACAATGAGAAGGTTGGTTAACTTCAAGTACAATCTCAATCTTGGAAAAGTTCCATAGAGCATAGATTGAGAGGGAGTGTTAGACAAGTTAGAGATAGAGCCATTTAAACCTCTTTGTATCCATATCTCTATGTTTTGTTTCCCCCCAGACACATCGTTAGTGATAGTCCCAACATGTACGCTACTGCAGGCTTTCACCCAACATATATAAACACCACACGCGGCCCTACGGGGTACTCACGCTTCCCAACCTAATTTTATAGTCATCATTGGAAACTTACCATGAACGTGCTCGTGGACACCTTGGCTTCCTACCTATAGCTGCTCATTGTCGGGATGGCAACCCCCTCGGCTTCGCCTTCGCGGGCGACTTCATGCTTCCCATCTTCTTGGCTTGTTGTTGCTTGGCACTTGCAAAGCAACGGAATAACCAATGCATGCTACGTGCTTCAACTCTAGCCTATGATGCTTCCTCCAACATGAGATCTCCGTCGGCGTTGGCGAAACCAAACCCTAGCGGTTGAGCGAGTGCGCGATGTGGTGTGGTGTGGGTTGGGTGCGGTGTAACGCATCTTGTGGTGCGACCAAGACCAGAGCATGTGTGGTGTGGACTAGGCGCGGGTGCAAGCCAGGTCTAGTATGCTGGTCCGATTTGATACACTACAAATACCAGGTGATAAAAAACTAGAGAAAATGAAAAACTATAAACATGGCGCTTCTAGTCTGCTCCAAAATTGGGGAAAACACTAAAAATGTGGTAATATGTGGCATGAACTTTGCTTCGACACACCCCCGAGAAAAGTTTATGGATTTTGATGCAGATTAAATATGAAGATTAGAAGGTATCCCTTCAATCAAAAAGGATAATATAGTCAACCAATGTATTCAATACGTTTGATGTGGAGGATAATATGGTGATAACTTTTTAAAGTAACTTTAATATTCGTGCAAACTTTCAAAGGGGGTGTACCAAAGTAAAACTTATGTGGCACAAAGTTCACCTAAATGGGGTATAAATTGAGAATTTTTGCTAGATGGGGTAAGATATGTTACAAACCTGATATATTTAGAGGATGGGAAGGCCGGAGCTAGCATGGTGCTTCACGATGACCTCGGCAACATCATTTATTCATCTTGCAGGGAACTCTTTGCTTGCCGAGATGCCCTTGAAGCAGAAATATGTGCATGCATGGAGGGGTTATCTCTAGCTATTCAAAGAATAGATCTCCTCAACGATGAACATGTTGAATGAGAATGGAACAGACAGATCGGTCTATGCGTCTTTGGTGGCAGAGAGCAAGCATCTAAAGTCTCTTCGTATGACTTATATTGCTCATATCAACCATCGTCAAAATTTAGTTAATGATTTCTTATCAAATTTTGCAAGAACTGGAAGTAAAACTGTAGTTTGGTTGGGCTCTGGTCTCCCAGAAGTCATTGCTTTATGCAAAGAGGATTGTACGGTTGATGCTCGAGTAATATGAGTTTTTACCCGCAATGAATAAATAAATAACTCTTTCTAAAAATATTGAAGATGTGAAGTCCTTTAATAACGCCTCTTGCATCACCCGCAAAAAAAAAATGCCTCTTGCATCCTTTCCAGTTGTTTGTATTGACTTTGTTTCTCTCAATCAAACACTGTTCCTTTTTAAATCGTAGATCAAACACCGTTCCTTCTTCTCAATAGATGAGACGCCGCTGCTGTTCCTGCACAATCGCCTAACAGTCTTTTTAGATGTAATAAATTTATTATCATTGGGCCACAAAACACAAGTGCATATGAACGAAACGCGTCCTAGAAAAAAAGTGGTGTCCGGCTCTGCTGGTATCCCCAGAGAAAGAACATCCGTGCTGTAACTGACACGTGCACCATGAGTTTGAGTTGATGCATCATCCCTTTGTGTGAACAGTTCAGTCAGGTTCACTGAATTGCGGCCTGGCCGGTGGAAGCAGCTTATTTCTGCACGTGCGCCAACTAGTGCTTCGTACTACTACGTACTAATAGCGCTGAACTACTGATCTTTCTCGAAAAATAAAAAGATGTACATTACGATCTTTAACCGAACTGTTAGAAGAAAACGGAGAAGAATAATGATGACACTTCGTTTTAGAGTATAGACTAAGACTCTTACTTAGATTTCAGTCGTGCAAGACATCTACTTAGACATGTGTTAGAAAATCAAATCAAGAATTCAGGATCAGAGCAAGTAGAAAGGGCCGACAAGAGATCCACCCCCATTTAGTTTTGCCTCACGCCTTTTATTAGTAATGGAATTTTGGGAACCACAATTGATTTCATATTTTTGATAGCTTAGCAAGTTGACCGCTTGGTGTAGGAACTGTAATTGATTTCGTTTTAGAATAATAACCGTAATTCACTTTTTTTTCACGCTGTATAAATCCAAATACTCACATGCAATCAATTCTATAAATACATGCACGCACATTTTACCTCTATGAGCATATGTTTCACCACAAAGAATCTAGTCATCTGAACTACGCTTAGTTCAGAACTGCACTTGATTTTGGTAACCTGATTCAGACCCAAAAGAAAGCACAACGCGTGACGACTACACGTGATGCACATTTTGCGCGCGCCCCTTGCCTAGCTATAAACCACCGCACTTGCACTTGACATGCTTGTGCACACGCTAGCGATTGCCACCTTCGAACTACTCCACGTCGACGAATTTGGCGCACCGGCGCCCGCGCGCTTTTTTGCTTTTCCGGCCATGTCCGCCGCGGCAGCTATCGCGGCACCGCCGCGCCACAGCCGGCCGTCGCCTCTCAACCCAAACGCAACGGCGATGGCCATCACCACCAAGCCTAACGCCGTCTGTACAAAGACGCACCTCGCCAACCTCGACCGCCTCCTCCTCCGCCCGCCGCCGCTCCCGCTCCCAGTCCGGCCTAAGAAGGCGCTCGCCGACGAGCCCGGCGGGGGCGACAGGGAGGAGACCACCACCGACTCCGACGAACGCAAAGGCCGCCGGGGCGGTCTCCTCAACGCGCTGAACCTGTCCACGTTCCTGCCGTTCACAGGGAGGCCCGCCACGGACGAGATGTCCCCGCGTAGCCTGGCACAAATGCAGCGGCTCCTCACGCTCTCGCCGCGGCCCTCGCCCAGGGGCTCCATCGCCGCCGAATGGCGACGTTACCACGGTGAGGGCGCGTGGAAGGGCCTGGTCGACCCGCTCGACCAGAACCTCCGCCGCGAGGTTTTGCGATACGGCGACTTCGTGCAGGCCGCCTACACGGCGTTCCACTCCATGCCGTCGTCGCCGTCGCACGGCCGCGGCCAGCATCGCGCGCTCGTGCTACCGGACCGGTCGTACCGGCCGACGCGCAGCCTGTTTGCCACGTCTTCCTTGACAATCCCGCCGTGGGTGCAGCGGCGGTCAGCGCCCAAGTGGCTGACACAGCGTACCAGCTTCGCCGGCTACGTCGCCGTCTGCGACAACGAGCGCGAGGTTCGGCGCATGGGCCGTCGCGACATCGTCATTGTGCTGCGCGGCACCGCCACGTGCCCTGAGTGGGCAGAGAACCTCCGCACCGGCCTCGTGCCAGTGTCGGACGACGATGACGGCGACGACGCCACGGCGGCGCAGAACGTGCCCAAGGTGGCGAAGGGGTTCCTCAGCCTGTACAAGACGGCCGGCGACCACGTGCCCAGCCTGTCGGACGCCATTGTGGAGGAGGTGAGGCGGCTGATCGAGGTGTACAAGGGCGAGGAGCTCAGCATCACGGTGGTTGGCCACAGCCTCGGCGCATCTTTGGCCCTCCTCGCCGCCGACGAGCTAAGCGCGTGCCTGGCCGCTGATGCGGCGAGTAACAGCACCGCTGCAGATGATCATCAGCCGCCGCCCGTCTCCGTGGTTTCCTTCGGCGGCCCGAAGACAGGCAACCGCGCGTTCGCGGACCGGCTACAGCACGAGCGGGGCGTGAACGTGCTGCGCGTGGTGAACGCCGGCGACGTGGTGACGCGCGTCCCCGGGCTCGTGAAACCGACGACGATGGCCGAAGGATACGTGCACGCGGGTGGCGCGGAGCTGACACTGGACAGCCGCGACTCGCCGTGCTTGCGCCCGGACGCCGGCCCGGCCTGCTGCCACGACCTGGAGGCCTACCTGCACCTGCTGGACGGGTTCATGGGCTCCGGCCGGCCGTTCCGCGCCGACGCGAGTCGCAGCGTGGCGGGGCTACTGGTTTACCAGCGGACCAGCGTGAAGCGTGCCTACGTGGAGCGCGCGAGGGTGCTCGGGTTCGAGCCGGCGGCCATGCCAAGGGCCGCCACGGCCAACGGCGCTGGCACTGCTGATGGACAGTACGGCTTCCTGGCCAGTCCCTCGTGACGTTGATCAGTCGCATGCATGTAGTGTACTCTGGGTATCTGCAGTGCACGTGTCCTGACGTGCAAACTTGTGTACTGGACGAGAGAGGCATATGTCTCTCCCCGTATCATGCAGCATGCTCGTTCGACATGAACAATCTATTTCGTGTTGTTTTGTTCAGAAGAATCTAGTACTTGGTAAATTTGTTACACGTATATCATGAAGTAATACACATATCAATATAGATTTTCTTCTTTTTCAGAAGACTTTACGCAAGGAACCTCAAAGTTAACCGTAAAGTGTGAAAACAGACTAGTGTTGATATAAGGGGACAATTTAGATGTGAGGTGTTGCGGCCTTGTACCCCGCCCGGAGGCATTACAACCATGAAGTAATACACTTTGGGCATCTGCAATAATACAATAATAAAATGAAAATTATGTGGGGTGCATTGTGCGCTGATAGCCAAGAGCCAGTGGCAAAGCTACGTAAGGGCAAAATTGTGCCATGGCCGGCCCAACTCAGAACAAAGACAATGCAAAGTATAAGCCTCACTAAGCCATTTCAAAAAAATTGGGTGATATTCTTTAGACTGGCTCTCTCTGCTCTTAGTTTGTAGCTCCACCACTGCCAGCAAGGCGACGTGTCAATGGCCATCTAATCCAGTGGGCACTGGACAAGGGTTGCCTCGACGCTATGCATGGTGGATTAACGAATTGGCTGATGATGTGTCGTACGTTCGTCTGGTTGCATAAATGCTCATGTCGGGTCATGGTGCTAATAGAATTGGAGGTGCAAAGTATAAATTTTTAACATGGACCGTCTGATCTCGGATGGATGTGCCAAATTCACGCATGGGAGCTACCGGGGAGCTTTGGTCATTTTCGGAAACCCCCTGGCTAACACCCATATTAAAAGTCGGTCTTTCCACCATCTACCACACATCAAATTGGGGCCGTGCACTAGAGATACAATGCTCACACCTATTTTTATATTTTTTGCACTCTAAGGGGAGATTATATTGTAGCGGTCGCAAATGGACTTCGTTCTTTCTCTCCCCTTCTCTTCCTCCTTGAAAGTTGCATGCCTGCATCAACTCCTCTTCCCTTCTTCTTTAGCGATGTCGCCGACTAGAATGAGGATGAGGGAGGAGGCAAGTTGACTATGTATATGCTAGGTCTAGGTTTGGGTTTCCTTAAGGGCGAATTGCTTGTATCATTTTGGAGCTTCACTTTGATGCTCGGGAGTTGCACCCGGTGGTTGTTGGTTTCTTCCCCTGGTGGTCTTCCACGGTAGATGGCTATTGTTAGTGATGGATCTAGTGAGAGCTCCCCTAAAAATATCAATGGTACATACTAGGCCAGGTTGCGCCAACCACTAATAGGGAAATGTCTATAGGTAGATACTTAGCAGTAGTGTGGGGTAGGTGGCCCGCGTTGCTGAGAGTTAGCAGTAACGCGCCTCTAAAAGCCTCGCTGCAGGTAAATCGTTGCAGCAGCGTGGGTTGAACAAACATGCGCTACTGCTAATGGGGGCCCATAGTGCCCCCGGGGGCTAGCAATAGCAACAGTGCGCTATGCCTGGCCCGCGCTACTACTAACGTGGTAGCAGCAACGTCGGGTTCCTGGCCCGCGTTGCTACTATGGCTAGCCCCGAGGGCACTGCGGCCCCCGTGGGCCTGGCTTAGCAGTAGCGTGGGCTAAGGTGGGCTAAGTGGCCCATCGCTACTGCTAGACAGCATTATCCCCCCGACCGTCCACCTCACTCTCCCTGTGCTCACTCTCTCTCACCGCCGTCGCCGCGCGCCACCGTACACCATTGCCACCGTTGCCAGCCTGGGTAAGACTCCTCCTCCACACCCAGCCGCAACCCCTCCTCCATCCTCCTTCTCCCCCTCCTCCTCCTCCTCGTCCTCCTCCTCCCTTCTCCAGCTGCCACACCTCCTCCTCCTTCCTGCCTCCTCCCTCATTTAACTAAATTAGTTTATAGTTTGTAGTTTACTGGATTATTTTGTAGTTTCTACTTTATGGTTTCTAGTTTACTGAATTAGTTAAAAAATTAGTTGGTAGAAAGTGTATTGGACACTTAGTTGGTAGAAATTATAACTAGTAATAGAATAAAAAATTGGTAATAGAATAGAAAAGAAATTATAACTAATGATAGAATAGAAAAATTAGTAATAGAATAGAAAACACCTTTAAATATTTTAGGTATCGAATAATGTTTTTGAATATAGAAATGTTTTAGGTATCGAATAGGTTTTTTGAATATACAAATGTTTTAGGTATCGAATAGGTTTTTAATATAGAAATATAGTGGACACTTTAATTATTTTTTATGTCATTATCACTTTGTCATCAAAGAATGCTACATGAGATTTGATGATCTAAAATTTTCAGTCGGTGGAATATACAGGCTTCATAGTGATCATCGTCAGAGCTTCCTCTACTTCCTCAACAGCCGAGCCGGTGAGCTAAAAGTCCACCTCCTTCTCTTCTCCTTGGACATGTGTATGATGATATTTCAACATGTATTGGTTGTCTCTTCGGACATGTGTATGATTTTGTAGGGAACACCTCTGAGTGGCCTATGTTTTGCCGGAATGTTGATTCATTTTTGTTCGTGCAAATTTCAGGCGCTCGATATATCCTATTCTAGCAAAGGTCAAGCCCAAAAAATTCATGGATTTCAGCATGACTTGTGCTATAAAGTAGGAAATATCAAGTGCTCGTGATTTGCCGGAACATGAATTAAACAAAATTCTGGCAAAACACATGCCATTTTTATGTCATTGCTCGATATATGTAACGGGTTAACTTTCATTCTGTTGGGGCTCCTTGTGGAACTTTCAATGAGGGAGTGTCCACCATATACAGTCGATATATGAGAGAGGAAGAATCCTGATTGTTGTCATGGGAAGCGCTTCTCCTTCTTCTCCTTGTGCTAGAACTTTGTAATGCACTAGGTGAAGGAGGAGTGGCGACCATCACCGATGGTCAACTATCAGTGAGGGAGTGTCCACCATATACGGTCGATATATGAGAGAGGAAGAATCCCGAATGTTGTCGTCGAGGTCGCTTCTCCTTCTTTCTCGTGTGCTAGAAATTTTGGTGTAATGTACTCGGGAACGAAGGGGGGAGCGACCATCATCGACTGTCAAAATATCAAAGAGGGAGTGCCCACCATATACACCACGTGAGATGAGAGTTTCCAAGGAAGACTCGACAGGCCGAAAGTCAACCCGTGCTGAATAGTGATCTGTGTGTTGAGTTCCTGGTAATTTCCGTCGATTCTTAGTCTTTGTATTATGAACACAGGAAATGTATGACGAAGATAGGATCCCTGAGTGCGATTACTGCAATGACGACCGGGGTATGTGCGACAGGTATCACCTACAAAACGGTAGGTGCTTCACCATCAAGCTGGACGAGACCTTCCAAGTTTTTATGATACTTAATGACGACAAGTATTTTTTCGTAATTAAGCATGACTTGTGCTTCTTTGCTTCGATGTGTAATTTTTATTTTTTACAACTTGACTAGTGCATCCCCTTCCATGCAAGACTGTATGTCTTGGGTAAGCTCGGTTTCGAAGATAGCGAGAGTATGGAGACGAAGATAGCTCACCTTAGGACGAAACTGTTGGAAATATGCCTTAGAGGCAATAATAAAATGGTTATTATTGTATTTCCTTGTTCATGATAATTGTCTATTGTTCATGCTATAATTGTATTAACTGGAAACCGTAATACATGTGTGAATACATAGATCACAACATGTCCCTAGTAAGCCTCTAGTTGACTAGCTCGTTGATCAATAGATGGTTATGGTTTCCTGACCATGGACATTGGATGTCATTGATAACGGGATCACATCATTAGGAGAATGATGTGATGGACAACACCCAATCCTAAGCATAGCACAAGATCGTATAGTTCGTCTGCTAAAGCTTTTCTAATGTCAAGTATCATTTCCTTAGACCATGAGATTGTGGAACTCCCGGATACCGTAGGAATGCTTTGGGTGTGCCAAATGTCATAGCGTAACTGGGTGGCTATAAAGGCACACTACGGGTATCTCCGAAAGTGTCTGTTGAGTTGGCATGAATCGAGACTGGGATTTGTCACTCCGTGTGACGGAGAGGTATCTCTGGGCCCACTCGGTAATGCATCATCATAATGAGCTCAATGTGACTAATGAGTTATCCACAGGATCATGCGTTACGGAACGAGTAAAGAGACTTGCCGGTAACGAGATTGAACGAGGTATGGGGATACCGATGATCGAATCTCGGGCAAGTAACATACCGATAGACAAAGGGAATTGTATACGGGATTGATTGAATCCCCGACATCGTGGTTCATCCGATGAGATCATCGTGGAACATGTGGGAGCCAATATGGGTATCCAGATCCCGCTATTGGTTATTGGCCGGAGAGATGTCTCGGTCATGTCTGCATGGTTCCCGAACCCGTAGGGTCTACACACTTAAGGTTCGGTGACGCTAGAGTTGTTATGGGAAATAGTATGTGGTTACCGAAGGTTGTTCGGAGTCCCGGATGAGATCCCGGACGTGACGAGGAGTTCCGGAATGGTCCGGAGGTGAATATCGATATATTGGACGAAGGGTATTGGAGTCCGGAATTGTTCCGGGGGTACCGGGTGACGACCAACGTGTCCGAAAGTGGTTTCGGAGGCCCCGACAAGCGTTGGGGGGCCTTATGGGCCAAGGGGAAGGGGAACACCAGCCCACTAAGGGGCTGTGCGCCCCTCCCACCCCATCTCACGTAACTTGGAGAGGTGGGGGCGCCTCCCCTAGGGTAGCCACCCCTCCCGACTTGGGGAGCAAGTTTCCTAGTGGTGGGGGCACCCAAACCCATCTAGGGTTTTCCCTGTGGCCGCCGCCCCTCCCCTAGGGAACCCTAGGGCGCCTCCTCCACCCCTCCCCCCTATATATAATGAGGGAGAGAGAGGGCAGCCGCACCCCTTCCCTGGCGCAGCCCCTCCCTCCTCCAACTCTAC